AGTATAAATAACTCCTCATTCCAGAAATTCAAACAAAAATTAGCTTCTGTCTATATTTATATGAGGTATTGTAATTGTTCAGACTGTTGTCCTCATATTCATATTTCAGCCGTTGTAGGCTTTGGTCTTCTTCAGATGACAGGAATTCCAATCAATTGAAGAAGGCTGGAGCCTACAACTGCCAAAATGTGAATATATATCTAGCAATTAAAGCATTTTCTATTCACTAAATTACTTTATCTTTTAATTAAAGTAATATTTTTTAAAATCCAAATTACAGTCACTCATTATGGTGAGCAACTAATGTGTTGTGTGTATTGTTTAATAAAAGACCTTTTGTGGTCATATAATCTTTTATTTAAATTTCCTCAAGGTTTCTCCTATGTATTCCTTGTGGCAATTATTACAAATAGTGTAAATTCCTCCAAGTTTTAGCTATTATTTTATTTTGTATTAAATCTTTTATTGTTTTTATATTAAGCTTAGATAAATTCTTTTCAATTGTTGTTGTGACAGTAGATAGAATAACATACTTTAATTTGTTGGTTTTGTCAAAATGGTTCATTCCTCTATTATAAAAATATTTTACAAGCCTCCTGTTTTGCATTGAATATGAAATAAATAGGGTATTGAAGGGGCCTAAAAAATATTTTCAATGTATTTCTCCTCTTCATATAAATAGTGAAGCCTACATATCCTGAGTGATCTGAAATAGAATAAAAATTATTCCAGATTTTATTTTATGATGAGAGTAGAAATTTGAGATCATTTTTATTAGTTGATTTGCAATGGACACACTTAGTTTTAGGTCGTTGCCAGTATGATGTAACATGATATCTAGGAAAGGTAAAGCGTTGTTTGTTTGTTTATTTGGTTTGTTGGTTGATAAGGGAATTCTATCATATATTTGGCTTTGCTTATTTTATCTACAATAGCAGGTAATGCAGTTTTGCAGAGATATATATGGCTAGTATCATCAATATATTGGAAATATGTTGATTGTTTAGGTAGAATATTCTGGAAAGGACCAGATTCAAGAAACTCTAAAGACCCGTTATAACAACACTCAGTGGTGAACTCATTGGTGATCCAAGTTTTTGTCTATAAAGATTGTTAAAGGTGAAACAGCATTGATTGGTTATGAGTAGAAAATCTTTGATTTTAACTATTGGTAGGGAGAGTTTTAGGAACTTTAGATGTTAAATCCCATTATATCAAACTAGACATGAATTTATCACTTATTCCCTTTAGTTTTTCAACCAATTTGCCTAAATTTTTAATATGTGATTGGTTGATTGTTACAAGGAGAGGTGCTAAAATTTTTGTTATAGCTTTCACTAATTTGTGGGGTGCACTACCAATACCTGATATGATGTACATGCCTGCTTTGTGGGTCTCAGGTAGACCATATAGTTTGGTAGTATTCTATTAATTTATACCATGGCTATTTTATTACTAGTTTCTTAATTGCTCTGTTAAATTTCACTCTAATTTTGTGTTTGTCTATTTTCTCATGTGTTAGTATCATTGAGTGGTGAATTAATTTTATCATTGTTATGTGCTCTTAATAATAATAATAATAATACCTTTGTCCAAGGAGGTGATGTGAATTTCCTTATTTTTTGCTAGGTTTCTTAATGCATTTAAGTGTCTGTTGTTCTTTCATTGTTCATTTCTTGATTGGTAGTAATTAATCCTTGAATACAGTCTTTAATAAATTCTTTCATTGTGTCTGACTTTTAAGTATTATATCAACTAGGTCTCCGTTATAAATCCTGGTAGCAAATTTTTATGCGTTCAACAAAAAAACTACTTTAGTCCAGAAGGATGAAATGTGTCACATACACAAAAAGTTTATACTTTGTCATTAACTGTCCTAACAGGTGAAACATTAATTATGAATAATGTGCTTAAGATTTGCCTATTTCAAATTTCCTCTAATAGTGCCAGATATCAATGTTCAACTATAGAAAATTTTGGATCATAATTTGCTTGGCTGAAACAATCTCCCCAAAACCTTCTGAAATGTTTGTATTGAAGCTTCCGGTGTGAATGCCAAGCAGTACAGCAGAGTGAATTGCATCATAGTGCTCTTTTTTTGCACAGACAGTTCCCAACTGACCCTGCTATACTATGCAGTCAACAAAAACAAAACAATGCTCATGCACAAAATTAAAAATATAAAATGGCGATAATTTACCAATTGCACTATGTAGAATTTAAAAAAAAAAAAGGATTAGTCAAAATAAATATTATTTCTTCATGAAAATTCTGGTATAAAACTGAATAGACACAACTATATTTTAAAGGAGGATAACGAAAAATGCATTTCTGAAAGAAAGAAAAAAAAATCCAAACAAAACACTTAAAGGTGGTTATTGCAAAGTGTCCAAACTGTACGTATCATGATTAGTGCTGTTTAATAGAAATAGCCATGTACCTCATGCTTATTGGTGCCCAGCCAATGGAATCTGTTTGCCAACTATTTGCATTCAATTTTGCAAGGTTTGTAATCTGTTGGAACAACTTTTGCAATTCTTACAATAGCAAGCAGATTTGAACAACATGCCTGCATCAAATTTTGTTTGAAGCCTTAAAATGCTTCAAACTTTTGGCAAATATTCTTTCTGAAAGAAAACTGGAACGGTGAATTAATTTCCAGGAAATGCATATTCAGGGCAACTAATCACAAGCAAAGGCGAAAAAAAAAAAAAAAAAAAAAAAATCCTCACCATCATCAAACAATTCATCTGTTCTGTCAGATGACCGAAATCAGTGACCGAACACTAAGTCTCTTGATGCTTTGAAGCATGGAATGAAATATCTATAAATCATTTACTAGAGTAAATTGTTTTTCTTTAAAAAAAAAAAAAAATAAACAAAAAAAACTTTAATTATTCTGGAAACCTGATAATCACCTTGTCCTGCCTAAGGTGACAAGCTGAAATGTATTGAATTAGTTTAAATAAGTCATCAAGTCTCATTTAATAGCATTTGGTATTTTTTTTTTTTTTTAAAACATAAAAAACACATTGAGCAGCCAAGATATTTTGTAATCCCAACCTGTAAACATAATTACTTAAGAAAATGTTAACAGTGACAAAGCAACAAAATCACTTTGAGACCATATGGTAAATATTTATTTCTTTTCAAGTAACAATTGGATAAAAATGTAAATGTAGAACTTAACAACAAAAAGTATCTTCATAATTCTCTTAAAAGTAGACCTAATACTTGTCAACAATGAAAGATTGAATAGAAAAATTTAGGAAGATAAGCAGAGAGAGAGAAAAAAAAAATTTTTTTTAAATAATCACAGCAGCCCAGTTGTATAAATTTTAAACATCTCAGTATATTGATAACTATAACTTGAATTTTACAACTATTTATATTGCAATAAGGTTTAACATTAAATTTGCTAAAAACAGTATTGTTGCAACTGGGCTGTATTCTTTGATTTTAATCTGAATGTTTTTTGTCTTTTTAGTTTATGAAAAGAACAGCTGATGTTAGTTTTTTTGTTTTTGATGTTAGTTTAGATCTATAACTGGCAAAAAAAAAAATGGAATAATCACAAGAGTATAGAATTTGGTCCAGGTGGCAAATTTTAGAAGAAATTTGGAGAAAAACAGACAGAAATGATTGTTCACTGGTGAATATTAGAGTTGATAATTTCTACAAATAGTAAATATAACTTTTTAGATTATTTTCATATTTGTTAATTTTAATCTTTACTTTTAAAAAAATATTTTCTGATTTCTTTTTGAAAAAAAAAAAAAAAAAAAAAATGAACACTTGTTTTATTATTTTTTTTTTTTTAAGGGAGGTGAGTGAGGAAAAGAAGATTAAAATTTTAATGAGATTTCATGAATTAGGGGTCTCCATCATTGAATGACTGGAGGCTTTTTTTTTCTTTTCTCTCTCAAAGAAATTTCTTAAAAAGCTGAAACAAAAAAAAAAAAAAAAAATGAAAGATTTTGTAATGGAATGTTTGTGTTTTTTTTTTTTTTTAATTATTTATTGAAGTTGTTTTTGCTGTTATTGTCAAACAAAGGAGTCAAAGTCTGTTTTTTCCTTTTGTTTTTCTTCCCAAACCATTTTCAGTTTCTTCCAATTTTTTTTTTTTTATCATAACCTGGCCAGAAATTATTTCTTAATCTGAATAAATAAAAAGAGCCACCATATTTCTAGAGTCAAAGACAGTAAAAGGAAAAAAAAAAAGCAGCAGGAAGTCCAAGATGCAATTTCAAGAAAAAAAGATTGTGGGTATCAACTCTGTAGCACAGGCAGACGCAGATAGTGATATAAGAGGGGGTGTGGGAGTATTTGAAGTACCTAATGAGACAAGGAAATTCAAAATAGATTATTACATCACCACAACAGACAGACCACAGGGGTTTCAGGTGAAGGGGGTAAGTCAACCTGGGTGGGGGTGGGAAGGAGTGGATTGGAAGTGTATGTGGGAAAGTAAGGAACAGATAATTAAAAAAAAATGTGTGCATGTATTTACACATCCATATGACCTACAAGTATACTTTTGTCTGTATGCACCTATATATGTGAAGTATAAAGGTGAATCAGGTATGTGTGCAGGTGCACACAAGATGCACATGGATATAAGCATAGGTGCATATGCACACATAACAGACCATTCATGTGTACTTTAGCATATACACACACACACAAAAAAAAAATGTATATAGAAATGTATGTACATACACACATATATAAATATACATTTTTATGTAAATATGCACATATATATATTTATAGGTTGTTGCCACAACTAAATTAGTCCACTCTTAGTTTATTTTCTCATGTGGTTAAATAAAGGATAAGCCACAGAGCCATCTGGTTAACAAAGAGAAGCAGATAGCCAAGGAGTGGGGTCAAATTTGAAAATGCAAAAAAAAAATAAAAGGGGGTGGGGATAAGCCAACTGGTCATCCTATTAAGCTTGGGAGGGGAGGATGATGGAGGTTGGCCAATGATAAATTGCATCATTGTGGGGAAAGACCCACTTGGTCCTCCACATTATTGCTGGGGGTTGGTGCCTGTTGAAGGCCATTTGTCACTTCATTTCCAGACGTTGTCATCTGGGTGGATTCATCATTGAAAAGTGGATTTTTCACCTCCATCTCGCCCGTCTGAAAGGTAGAAAAAAAAAAAAAAAATATATAAACTGTAATTAGTGTTCATAATTTTACATTATCATTAGTAATTAAATATAAATATGTGAATAAACATAGCAAAAGTTAATTGGGGGGGGGCTTAAATTTTTGGTTAAAAAAATCTTACAATTTCAGAAGCCATCAATAATCAAAGGAATGAAATAGTTACATAACAATTTAAGAAAATAAATGCACACAAACCTGATACTTAAAATAATTATTCAACACTGGCAGTTAAATTTATAAATTTGCTTCACTTCATTTCTTGACTTATCGCATTCAGCTAATATTAAGATTTACTATACAAAATTGAATTCAACTGATTCTCTTTTGAAAACCATCATTTAACCAGAAAATGACACTGATCTCATGACATCACATAATGCTTACAACTGCATTTTATTGACAGAGAAAAGAAAGAGTGATGGTGATAGCAACAGAGTTCATAGCAGAATTAAGCTAGAAATAGGGCAAGAATAACTTTGTTTTGTCCAAGATACTGGAAAAAGTCAGAATGCTAAGTCATAAAAATGCAGAAAGACCCTGCATCTCATAGTATATTATTGAATTATTTTTTTTTTTAATAGGTGAAAAAAAAAAAAAAAAAAATCAAATATTGCCATGGCAAACATTTTTTTAAAGATTTTAAAATTTGTTTTTCCAACTTTGTTTAACAGAAATGGTTAACAAATGTGTTGCATTTGACTGTTCTAGTGGATATGTTATTAACAGTGAAAAAGTATCAGCATTTTCTTTTCCTCTTGGAAAATCCAACTGTGTAGAAAAATGGATATTCATTAATCATATTGAGATTGGTTTTGCTACAAAAAATTCTGTTCTCTGTATGAAACATTTTGAAGAGAAAACGAAACAAACTGAATTAGGATTTACATCCAATACCTACAATACATTTAGTAAAAAAAAAAAATAAGAAAACTGTCTCTTTTGCTGAATACAAAAACAATGACTGGTCCAAACTGATGAATTACCTGATTTTATTTCAGTTGATAAAATAAAGAATTTTACTCATTTGGAAGAAGCAAAATGTTGTTTTACTGGGTTTGGATTAAAAAAAAAAAAAAAGATTATATTCTAATTTATAGAATAGCCTTTGACACTGAGACACATTTTCCATCTATAAAAGAATTGACCAAAATATTCACATAATACAGCTCCAATGCAATAGAAACACTATACCATTAATACAGTGGTTTATATATGAACACAATACTAAACTCACAAAATTTAGCATGTTAGAAAATTTTCCAAACTACATTAAATTTTTTTTTAAATTATAAAAGAGTCATTAACATGGAGGTCATCCTTTATTTTCTGCAGAACTAATACGTTATGACTTACTAGAGTGCTATATGTCTCAACAAGCCTAGGAATTACTTTCTATTACCATCTTTTTCTTTATTACAGAAAATTCAAAAAAATTAATAAAATGTTTTCAATGTGAAATGTGTTCCTTGATCATGGTAGACAATGACGCTACAGAAAAGCAGTATTTTGATTTACTTTCTCAAGGAGGTCTTATGGTCCCATCTAGCCAAATGGTGCTTGTTTTGCTATACATGACTATGCAAATAAATATATTGTAAAACATAATGAACTCACTACAAGAGAGTCTGCTGAAAGAATTATGGAAACTTATTCCCCAAAATATGTTTTTATTTGCGAACAACACATTGAAAAAGGAATTCACTTTGCATCAAAATTTATTGTGAATATATTTTACAACAACAAATGAAAGTTTTCATTGGATGAGGCTCAAAAAAATATTGTAGAATGTTTTAAAAAAAGGCAAAGGTCAAAAAAAATTGATTTATAGAGAAACTGTTAGTAAGTTTTTTTTACTTGTATTTGTTTTGTATTACTGCTTAATTATTTAATAATTTTTTTGTTTGTTTACAATCTTTTATTATTACTTTTTTGTTTAAAAAGAGAAGAAAAAAAAAACAACCTGTTTGTGTATTTTTGGATGGTTTTAACATAATTTATGTCTATTTTATCTGACTATAAACCAAATAGGCCTGTTAGAAATTAACCTGAAATGTGACATATGGAGCCGTATATATTAGTGGGCTGTGAACTAACCAAAAAATGTCAATTTTGATGAACTATTTTAAAACTGATTTTTCTTATGAAAAGGTATGTTCACTTTTCACACTTCTATTTTATTCAAGAAATTCATAACTGCTTCTTCATGTAGAAGACATTTTAATTTGTATAATTTTTTAACAATTGATATTTTTTCTTAGTTTTGCTAAAAAAGATTATAGTCCAAATTGTGAACTTAGAAAAACTTTTTTTTCAAATTAGATTGTGAAAAATGAAAAGAAAAAAAATTCTTTTTTTTTTTTTTTTTTTTTTTGAATTGGAAAATGGTGGAAAGGACCATGGAGAAGAGGAAGAATTTTTAAATGAAATAAGAACTAAAAAGAAACTGCTTAAGATTTTGGGCTATCTACCTCCAAAGTTATGTGTGTCTGCATATAAACACATACAAACCTATACTATATATAAGCCTTTGAAGTGATGTCAGCAATGTACATTCCTACAATTGATATAGAACATTTAATCTCTTCATTTTTTATTTTTTTTGCATTCATCCACCTCACCACAAAAACAGGTAAAAAGTTTAACTATATATATATGGCCCACGAGTCTGTCATTTGTTTCTTACTTCAAAATCATAAAAAGTTCTTTCTTGGAACCAAAGAATAAAGAAAAAGATCAATAGACTAACAAGAGGAACTAACCAGATTTAAGAAAGTCTCTTCTGTTTCTCTGTATGCATTCATAATAGTGTCAACAATTCATTGCATTGACAGCACAGATCAACATGAGGGACAACAGTTTCAGTCGCAATTTATTGCTCTCCTCTCTCTATCCTGTATACTCCTGAGTTTTGTTATTTTTCACAAGTACTAGTGATATTTTTTTTTTTTTTTATTTCTTTCTAATCGGAAAGATATAGAATTGTTACAGATGCAAGAATTTTCCGAAAATATAGAGAGAGGAAAAATCTTAATAAATCTACTTTTTCTGACTGAGTGTTTTTCTGTAAGTTTGCCAGGAAGCAATGGTTTCAGTCAAGTGCAACCTAAGGTGATATAATTGATGAAACTTAAACTCTGAAAGCAAGCACAAGTCAAAATCATCTTCATACAGAATATTTTAGCATGTAGTTTCTTGGAATTAAGTGATATCATAAATATAAAGAATTTCTGCTCCACAACTTGTGCCCAATTTTAACTAGAGAATTAACAATCCTAGAAATTTTTGAAATCTATTAGCAACATGGCTTGTGAGACCCTTACAGTACTTTATATTTTTTGTTGAATTATATGTACATTGCTTTTTTAAAAAATTTGGTATTACTAACAGGATTACTTTAATCATTCTATACTAAAAGAAACTAACATAATGTTATATGAGAGAGCAATAAGCATGGTATCATTTGATTGGTGACAGGGTTTATACTATTACTGAAATATGTTTTAAATTGATAAGTATCTAGAATTGGCTCTAGTTTATTCAGAATTACGGTGCATGTAAGCATTCAATGGTTATGGAAAACTATGTGAACATAAGGTCATTTTAATTGGCCAATGGCCATCTATCATTGAACTTATTGTTAATCTCTCAGATTAACTGTTCACAAGTATATGCAATAAAATACTGCAATTAGAAACATAATAATAAATAAACAATTAGATGATGGGATGTCATAGACTGTAAGTAAAATTTTTCATTGAACAAAGATGTGAAGAAGAATAGTTAATAATCAAGTTATTCATTAATCATACATATAGATGAATATAAAATCTTGTCTACTTTGTAGCACTTAGTTTCTGTCGATGTTCAATGTCACACCCAAATCTACAACTTTTGAAAGTGCTCATTGATAACTTTTTCTCTATTAGATGAAGTCTAGCCTGGTTCAATGTCAAACTTGACAATTATTTTCTTGTGGCATATTGTGAAAAATCTACTTTTCTTACTACAACAAGAAAACTTTATTTGTGTTTGAGAAAGAAAGCATAAGTAGGTCTACAATCACCCTGGAACACTTCTAAAACATTTGTACAGGCTAAAGTATATACATATGCATATGCATTTTCATTTTTTTTTTTTGTTTCTAATAATTTTTTCTACAAAGCATAATTTAAGAAGCAATGATATTGGATCATTCCTAACGGTTCAAATGAATTTTAAATTGACCCTTTGTTCCAAATACAATGTCTTTGATCTTAATATTTTCTTTTAACCTTCCATAGCTGTTAGTAAGCAATGAAGATGGGGGTAGGGGAGAGTAAGACTCAGTCAAACTCACAACATAAAGTGATTGAGCATAACTGACAACTTGACTTGTTCTTTCATATAACATTATAATGCTAAAAAGTTGTAAAGAGACAGGATGTCTGGTAGACTGTGCATTCAAATAAGTCTATTCTTATGCTTTTTATTAGTTTTGTTCTATTTATCTCTCTATTAAATTTCATGTCTCTGCCTATAATATCCATTGATACACTGACTGGCTGTAGCTATTATAATATTGCAAAAGAATTCCTTATAAATGTCTATTTATAAAGTAAAATCCAAAGCAACCATGTTGATACAATCAACATTAGAACTAACCTCTTCACTGAATGAACCATTTAAAACAAATATGCTTATTCAGAATCATCTGTTTACTAGTGACAGTCCAAAATCAAAGTCTGATTTCTTTCATTTAATGATACAGAAGGCAGCTTTAGTAGAATTTAACTCAATACAGAATAAAAAATAATTTGTTTTTCTCCAGTAAAAAAAATAATTATATAATTTTTAAGCTTTTAGTATATTATAGACAGGAAAATCCCATTTATATGTAGATTCAGATTTATGCATTTAAAAAATAGAGGAATGTATGTGAAGAAGAGAAAGCCTTATCTTACTTAGTATACAAACATTGCAAATTCAAAACTACTTGTCCTGATGCTAAGAGACATAAGCTTGAAAAAGAAGTTGATAGAAGAAAGACAGTTGTATATTGTATAGTAAACAAATAAAGATTATTTTACCCATATTTGCTGGCAGGAGAAAATGGTTGGTCACATGACCAACAGGAGACCACAGTAAAAGTACTGATTTAATAATAGATATTTACAAAGTCTGGTACAGTGGGGAATGTTTATCTTGCCATAATGTTTAAAGTAGGATAATTTTGGAGAAATTTAAATCTATTAGAATTAAAACCTTTCTGTTTTTGTTAATTTCTACCACTCAGCTTAGAAGAAAAATTAGGTCTTTGATGAGTGTTTGATAGGTTTTTTTTTTTTTTTTTTTGGTTTTTTTTTTAAATATTGATTGGGCAGAACAACAAGCTGTGCACAGTAGAATTGATGTTGGGATTATTATAATTGTATCATCAATAGCTTGTGCTTCAATAGAATTGATATTTCTATAAAATATAAACAATAGACCTTGCCTGGATTTGAAAAGAAAATCTTGGTCAAAGTTTATAAATCTAGATAATACGTAAAACACTGAAAGAATTGGATGAGTGTGTATGTACTTACAGGAGCCAGCCCAGGACACTCATATACAGTGTAGTCTCCTTCTTCATTTTCTTCTTCAGAATCATCATCAGTGGCATCATGTTTCATTTCACCATTAGCTCTAAAACAAATAAATAAAATATGTCAATGTGTCAACAATATTTATCACATAAATAACAATGCAATATTTATTCTGTTCAATATTCATTACATAAAAATTATGATAACCCTTGCTGAGAGCATCAATAACAGGATTGTTTTTGACACAACAATCAATTTGTATTCAGTTTGCATTGTACCTACAAAAGATTCCAGGAGAAATAGACATGTCAGCATTTAAATGAAGTGTTTAAAATAGTCCTTTTATAAATCTGAATGGCTAATTGAACGAAGAAGAAAATGAAATCTATACAGAGATTTTATTTTATTTTTTCTTCTCACTTCAAATGAGGATTCCTTGTCAAAACACAGAACTTGTCACTCAATCCTCACTGATACTAGCTATTTATATTACTTTTCATACAACCTTAACTCTGAAGCTAGATTTGCAATTTCTAATTCTTTGTGCTAACCACTGAATTATTTCTGTCAATGTATAGGTTCTTCATTTAAAAATTGATATAATTTTAACAATTATTGAGCTGTATTGAAAGAACTAAATGCATTATATAGAAAGTTTCTTTAAATGCAAAAGAACATTACTTTTAATATTTTCCAATTCCTTAACCTATCTTGTTCCAGAGAAAAGAAAATTCAGATAAAATAAACTGGAAGAAATTTTATTTTATCCTTTTTAAATTTGGTTCAATAGCAATTTAGTGTGATATATTCAGCAAGCCTACTTGAATAAAAAGTTTATCTATTGCGTCTAACAAAGAATGATACAGTCATTATTATTAGAGTATAAACTGAATAAAACTATGAAACATTTGGCATACATTAAGCTAAGTAAAATATCATGCCTGTCTGCAATACTTTTTTGTTGGTGCAAAGAAAATACTATTTAATGATAGATTGGCAACCTACATGGAATATGCCTATGAAGTTAAAAATCCTCATTTCGAAGCCATCATTATACATTTTTCAATGTAAAAGCTCTCAGTTCAAATCCTAAAGGTGTTTTTTTTTTTTTTTTTTTTTTACATTGAGTGATTGGAACAAAAGTGACAAATTTATTCAACATTTAAATAGCTGCCAATTTTTTGCTATTATTAACAGTTCTTTCATTTTTCAAATTATGAGCTGGTATCAATTTCCATTTTAATAAAAGTTTTACATCTACAGATGTTCTATTAATTACATAGAAATATGCCTACATAACTTATCAAGAGTAAGGGTTATGAATATTATTGCATCTTTAGAAACATTTCTCTCTAAAATAAATGCCTTGTTGCTTTCCTGCTTGTTGGAAATCCTCTTTTGAAGTTCCTGTCTTTAAGACTTCAAGCAAACAATTTGATCCTTCTACCTCTTTTTGGCAAAGTATTAGAGGCTCTAATCAACTGGGAATCTTGTTAAGCATCTTACATCACAGGGTCTTCTTTCAGATAAGTTATATGGTTTTCACTTCTCTAGATCAACTACTGATATATTAATGATTATTGCTGAAAGAGTCTATCAAGTTTTAGATAAGAATGGTGATGCTTGGGTTGTTGCTTTGGACACATCCCAAAGGCATTTGACAAGGTCTGACATACAGGTCTTTACAAGTTAAAAGGTTATGGTATTTCTGAATGAATAGTTGTTCTTAACAAATTGTGAAATGAAAGTTTTCTTGAACAGTTACTCTTCTAGATCTTTTTGCATTAATGCAGGTGTCTCCCAAGGCTCTATACTTGGACCTATGTTGTCCCTGATGTCAATCTGCTCTCTATTAATTATCTGAGAGACTCCTTTCTACCTTCAATCAGCATGGCTGATGCTAACCTCCATAAGAGTGACTCGTTGCACCTTCTTGGGCTAACATTTTCCGTTGACAGGAAACAAAGATTATATTGAATCAATTGCTAGGTCAGCGGCTAGCAAAATTGAACAATGTCATGCTAGACAATTATTTCTCACCAGAATCTATCTTGTATATTTATAACTCTACATTTTTTTTTTTTTTTTACAAGCTTTTCTTTCATTTTATTTTTGATTACAACATTCTAGTTCTTAAGTAAAAATGAATGGAAATATAAAGAAATTACTACAGTAGCCATAAGATTGGTAAAGCTGATGCCTGTCAGATGGGCTACCAGGATATAGGGTGGGATACTATTTCTTTATTTACACTTTACTTTAACTTGTACAATATAACAAGCTAGGACTTGTGATGAAAAGCAACAATTGAGATTAATAAAAAGAAATTGATTAATCATGAAAATATGCTTTTTTTTTTTTTAAGCAGCAGCATATCAACATATGGGATATTTAATGCTGAAATCTAAATATTTTGAATGCAATTTCATGCCTTCAACTACAGATAAAATGCATTGTTGGACTTCTTTTTTTTTTTACTATAAAAATGTATTAATAGTGTTTTGTTTGGGGGTTCACTATTTGCCTATAGGTGGGACCCTAACAGGTACTACCACCTCAAGTCAGGGTGGACCTGGGAACAACAGCAATTAAAAGTTGGTTCCACACTCCTCAAAACCTTCAGTCTCTTGAACAGAGGCCTTGCTGCCAGATGTAGTTTATCGTTATACTCAAGACTATCAAAATACTTCAAAGATTAAAAAAAACTTAAGAATTTCCATTTTTTTTTTTTGTTTTTCCTCTTCTTTTACAATAGGATTAAAGTACAAACAGTTCAGTTGATAGTTTAAAGTGGAATTAGAATGAGGAAAATTGGAGATGTTGCATCACTATCTCTCTCATATATGTCGATCCATAATTCAGGCCTTGAGATTGAGTTAAGTAGGCACTTGGGGGTGAATATTTAACATGCAAAAGTTTTTTGCTGGAATTGAATTAAATGAATTATTTTTTTAAAGAAATTTTTACATTCTACCTTTGGATTAAGTTTTTATTTAAGATACTTCAGTAAGTATAATGTTTATTTTATTTCAACTTTGCATATTTTATCTTTAAACAAGCTTTCTTGATGCAAAATTCACAAATGTCATTAAGAAAAGAATTTATGACAAAGTTAAAATTTAATATTTTTTGCTATTTTTCTTCAACAATGACCATATCTATATAATAAATGTGAATGTCAGTGTGTCATAAGTTTCAACTTTACTCCTAGTGGCCATAGCCCAACAGTATACCATTTTGGATTCCAAAGTTTTCATTACTGCGATTGCTTTCAGTGATTTTCGTACATGATGTTTTGTGACAAATTTTTTTGTATGATAACAATTTTTATAACTGTTAACTGAAATTAATTGTGAAATCAAGCAAAAGTCACCCATGAAATAAAATAATTATTTGTACAGAAAGTAAGGACCTACACTTATCAAATTGTCTTTAAATTAAGCTTTTAAGCTAGTTAAGTATAAAATTAATTTTTTTTTTAAAAGTATGTTGAAATTTTTTGTCCTTTGTAAATAAATAGAAGACATTAAAGAAATATAGTGATAAATTGCAAAATTTGTGATAAATTATTTAATAAATGTCATTTTTCACTAAGTTAATGCTAAAAATTAAATTCAATTTAAGATTTTACAACTATTCTTAAAAATATACTACAAAAAATGTAAGAAATGACATTGTCTTGTCAATATTGCCTCTCTTTTTTTTTTACTTTTTTGTGATTATTTTAAACAGCAAAATTCAAAAATGTTATTATTAAGAATTTTGTCACAGTTAATTTTTTTTCTTTATGCTATTATTCTTCATAATAACGAATATCTTGATTATAAAATACATTTTTTTCTTTATAACACATGAAGTATGTTTATACCGTCTTCTAAAAAAAAAAATTATGTTGAATTTTGCAAGCATTGTTGTTACAAATATTAAACAAAATTAACCAGTTTAATATTTTAACAGTAAATTAAAAAAAGAATACTGTAAAAATATTAAACTGGTTAATTTTTTTGTTTAGGTAATTGTAGGGGGGGGCTGATTCCACCCCCGTAAAATATGATTACCCAAAATTTAATTCCAAACTAAAATTCCCCATGTCTGAATCCAAAATTCCTTTGTCCTGGCATTTCATAATCCATGTTAATCTCTACAAGATTCCCACATTCATCCAAACTTTAAATTTCAAATTCTGAAACCTAAATTCCAAAGTCCCAACCCTCCAAGACCTTAGAGTATAAGTTTCATACATTTTTTTGAAGCACCATGTAATTTTTTACAAAATAATAGTTTAGTTAATATTTTTTTAATTTCAGTATCCCCAAACCTTTCTCCAAATGGTCAAAAAGTGCTGTGTAACTGCTTGTCATGGTAACTATGATGACCAATATAAGGTTTGTGTATTTTTTCTTCCCCAAGATCAGAATGAGCAAGAATAATGGTTAAAGGCTATACCTTGAGACAACACTCTCACAGTGTTTGGTTTGTTAAAAGGCATTTTCCATTTGATTATGTAACAGTGGTTATTAATATAATACCTTTATCCATATGTAAATCAAAGATTTAAAATAATGGAAGCCTTAATAATAAAAATGAAAAGCCAACATTCAATAACATTAATTATGAACACAGCCACAATGTGATGACTGTGTTTGGATAATAAAACATTCTTATAACTACATAACACAGCCCATAGATTCAGTTAAAAATAAAAAAAATTAAAATTATCCTCAATAATCAAGTATATAGACAAAAGTACTTGGACATGCAGAACTTTTGGACAGTTTTTACACACTTTGAAAAGAAAAGAAAACACTTGTACATACACAAGAAAAATTAAATAAAAAGTTTACAATTTTTAACAAAATATACAATTGGTATAACTTATTTGCTAAAATGATTCCTTTACTCTAAAATATGAATTTTTTAAAAATCTATAGTCAGATTTTTTTTTTAAATAACATGCATTTAATCTCAAGTGTGTGTTTGTATATATGTCTATGCATTATATATCTGTCTGTGAATCTTTGCTTAATTTTTTAGGGGGGTCAGTTATTTCCAGCCAAAAATCTCATACTGTATGGAATAAATTATTTAAAATGGACATAA